TTCATGAGAAAGGAGGGAAGATTGTGGCAGTAAGTGACATTACTGGAGCAATAAAGAACGTCAAGGGAATTGATATCCCAAGCTTATTCAAACATGTAAAGGAAAATAAGGGTGTCAAAGGATTCCATGGCGCGGATTCTATTGATCCAAAGTCAATACTAATTGAGGATTGTGACGTTCTTATTCCTGCAGCCCTTGGAGGCGTCATCAACAGGTTGTTTTTGCAGGATAGTAACTCCTTCTAGATGATATTAATAACCAAAAAGTAAAACATATCGTTTAGGGTTCTCAAAAATCAAAATGATTTTCATCAACGTCTTGTTTTTTTCTAGGTTCTTGATAATGTTTTAAATATTTTATGATTCATGATCTTGGTTAGCCAAATGTTTTTACGTAAATGTTTCTTGTCCGGTTGAAGGGAAAATGCTAATGATATCAAAGCCAAATTTATAGTGGAAGCTGCTAACCATCCAACTGACCCACAGGCTGATGAGGTGAGAATAAACTTGAAGTCTAGAGTTACACAAATCAAATCTCCATTTTGATTTCATGCAATATAATAGTTACTGCCTTTTGCAGATATTGTCAAAGAAAGGGGTCGTTATTCTACCAGATATATATGCAAACTCAGGAGGAGTCACTGTCAGTTACTTTGAATGGGTGCAGGTACTGTATTTTGTTTCCATTCTGCTGTCAGTCTAGCACCGGCTGTTTGTTTTAATTTTCATGTTCTTGTTTTGCTTCGTCAGAAAAAAAATGATCCATAAAACTCTCATTCTTCCTTTTTTGCTTAAGCTGACGTTTACTTTATATCTGGCAATTGGTGCACTGCAGAATATCCAAGGCTTCATGTGGGATGAGGAGAAAGTGAACAATGAGCTAAGGACTTACATGACCAAAGGTTTTAAGGATGTGAAGGAGATGTGCAACACCCACAACTGCGATCTTCGAATGGGTGCATTCACCCTCGGTGTCAACCGCGTTGCCCGGGCAACTGTTCTCCGGGGATGGGAAGCCTGAGATAATTTGCACTTGAATAAAATCGACACCCAAATAAAGGCCCCATATTTGTTTTTTTCCAGTAGTTTTCGATTACCTACCGTAGTGGATTAGAAACTGAAAAGAGGATGTCGTTTTTATCTTGTCTCGGTGCTAATTTATATATTTAATTTTCATCTAAAGAAGTTCTCATAAAAGGTATATGATATATATGGGGGGAATGATTAAGTATGATAATTGCTGCTTAATCCTATAGATAACCATGAAGTGTGACTTGGAGCAGACATCTCCGGAGATTATGATATGATGTTTAAAAGCCAATATTTAAACGCTTCATACCGGGACAAGATGTTATAGAGATTCAAAATGTCGTTCAAAGTGCAGGGACTGTCTTTTTTTTTCTTTTTTATGTTAATGTAATATTAAAATTCAACTCTTCCTTTTCTCCTCATTAAAAAATTACTGCTACAAACATAAACTATTTAATTCTCAGTCAAAAGTGCAGGAAAATTAATTATTTGATCATTAGAGCCACTACCCGCCTGGAAGTAAATAAATTTAATTCTCATCTCAAAAATAGAACCTCTTCAATGAAATATAAAATAATATATATATATATATATATATATATATATGGAAATGGAGTTTTATTGAAACGTTGAAAAAATAATAATTTCTTCTTTGTCATTTAGATGAACAAATTTTTATAATTATTAAGAATTCAACGACATCCTTCCCCTCGAATCAGACGAAGAAAAAAGAGTTGGGGCCCTGTTGAGTTCTTATTGCTTCCATGTCTACTAAACCAATCACATGAATATCAATTACAGTACCCAGAAGAATCCTTTCAGTAATATTAGTCATCTATCCGGCTTCACTCCATATTCCATCAAGTGGTCATACTATAAACATAAACAGTCATAAATAATTATAATATATGATCCTTCTAAATGAGATTAAAAAAATTTAGACTATTAGTTATTTTATTATTCTACTTTTTTTTTTTCTTTTTTTAATTGAAAAAATAAAAAAACTAAAAAAATAAGTAATAACCCCCACTATAAACTGGTACGAATTCAACATTTTATTTGTTCAGGTTTAATTATGTAACATTTATAATAAAATCAGTGATAAACGGTGATTTATCCTGTGACTGATGTCAGTACAAAGCGATACGATAGCACCAATTTTTTTCGATTCTGACACTTCGTTTATAATTTTTTATTATTTATATTGATAAAATAAAATCCTTCCATTTTAGCAACACCTTAGAATAACATAACTTTAAAGTTACGAACAAAGTACAAATAGGGATAGGCTTATGGCGGAAGCCTAGACACCTAAAGACGAGGAAGGACATAATAAGCAACGAAATGCTTTGGAAGTTAAAAATAAGTGTAGATCCAAAAATTCTCGAATAAGTCAACCTTTCAAACTGCTGTTAAATCCATGTACAGATAAGAGACAACCTAACAAACTGAAACAACTTAGTAGCCAGAAAAAACGAAAGCAAAAGTGATTCTCATAGTAGCCACAAGCGAAATGGAAGCAACCTAAATCGGAAAAAAGGGATTGTGGGCAAGTAATAAAAGTGTCGTGCTGCTAGGCCTTTGCTCTTTCCTCACCATTGGGAATTTGACAATGGAGATGCGTTTACACATACTTTTCCTTTGGTAAATCAGTAAATTCTAAGCAGGCAGAGCAACTAAGATTCAAGTAAATATGTGAAGCAAATTTAACTCCATTGACAAACCAAATTAACTAACACAAACTTTTATGGTCATGTCTCTAAAGCATTTTTTGGGAAAAGATGGTCACTGTCATTGCTAGTGTTACAGGATATATTGTTCTATGATCTCCCCCCTCTGCCCCTAAAACCTCCACCACGACCACCTCTGGGCGGTCCACCTCTGCCACCCCTTGGACCACCTCTTCCACGAAAAGAACCTCCACGACCACCACCTCTACCACCACCTCGTCCTCCACGGCCACCACCTCTTCCAGCAGCTTGAGGCTGTCCTCTGAAACAAAGGACTTGTACCATTAAAATTCAATTGATAACAAAACTTCAAATTCTAAATTAGACCTAGCAATTACGAAAGCAAGTTATTGAACTTGCCACATAAGCAAACCTCTGTAATTATGTAAATACTGTAAAGTGCATGGAAAGGACATGAATAATACAAATTAAAATGGATGGATACAAGCAACTTCAATCAAACTGAGTAGCGTGCAATAGAGCCATGATTTCAGCAATAAGTCTATAATGAACTGAATACTTAAGTTCAGGATAAATATGAGTGCTGACATAAAAAATACAAAAAATCATAATATATGCAAAGCAAATAGTAATGCAATCACCAAAGATGAATAAATCACAGAAGATTCCAATATGATTATTTGGTGCTTAAGCATAAAAAGATAAGATCAATAAATCACAAAAGTTTCCAATATGGTTATTTGGTGCTCAAGCATAAAAAGACTTGTTAGTTGTTCAAAAGCATTTAATCAATGGAGTCCTTCTAACATAGAGCATGCAATGTATCTAAACTTCATCGAGCAAATAAATTTTTCATGTTTACGAAACAAAATACCAAAGACTTGTTGTATGCTATCCATATTGTTGTTCAATCAGATGATAGAAAAATCTCAACATTCCATCATTGACCTAGAAAGATTTTAACTAATGAGTCAACTAGACCATAGAGGCAAAAGTTCAATATTCTGTTTCAAGACAATCAAAAAGCTGCTCCAGTGTTGCCACTATAACATCCCCAAGAACCAAAAAACACTTGTCTATGCTGTGAATATAATAAATCTAATGATGTTCCAACATGCCTCATCTAAAAGAAATTTTTTCAGCATCACAAATGCTCCTTCAAATAGAGGAAGCAAAGAATCTCAGGAACCCAACTGTTTTACCAATTCCAGCAGAAAAAGCTTCCAAAACATTTGACGTTCCTATGGTAAAATGTCAAGCATCCAGTAAATTCCTAAATAAGTATCCGCCAACTTTTCATATAGAATATTATGCAGCTTATCAAGACCAGTTACAGGGAGCACATCAAAAAGATTTGTTTCATCTAAAACTAGAAGCTTTCTGAAATTTTATATGTATTCCCTTGACGAAAGGATTCAACCAGACAACATCACCCATAAGAAATTAAAGGGATAGCTTACTTTGGCTGCGGAAGAAATCTTGCAAGTGGCAAAAGCTTAGCAGGGTCGATGTAGAACTTATCACCGGCTGAATATGAAGTTGCTATAATGCCTTCCATCATTTTGATAGAAAAATACTGTAACATGAAGACAGACAAAAAGCCGCATAAAAACCCTAACAAGATAAACAGAAGGCATTAGCAACATAAAAGATCTGTAAGGCAGCTCACAGATTCATTGATTGGACCGAAGATTTCATCAACTTTTCCTATTTGCGTCTTATTATGCAGATAAATTGGGGCATTAAAGTAGGGTATTTTCTCGTTGGTCAGCTTGGTCACAGCATCCCCCTCGCATGCATGAAGAAATGTCGAAACCTCTATAAAAGACAACAACAAAGCCTTGTTATAACAGGGTCAACACCTTGAAATGAATAATGAAAATCTAGTGACTTTAAACTTTTATTCGATCACCAGTTCAGAAAATGGGATAGCTTAGCTTATGACAACAAGAAATATTCTTTTTAGAATGCAATAGATCTCTGAAGAGATAAGCTTATACGCCCACTTAGCGCAACCACTAAAAGAGAACATTTATTTGCGTTTACTTTTTGCATATGTGCGGATCTATACAAATAGTACAGGCAAGTTCAGTTCCATCTGTTGTCAGTGAAGCCAGATAAACCAGCAAAAACAGAACAGAACCTAGAAACAATGCCCTTTCATTTCTCCTCCGTAACTGGTGTAGTTTCTGTTATTTCCTATCGAGTCTTTCCAACGACCAAGCAAGACAAAACAAGGGAGAAAAGAAAAAGTACATGAGAAAGGATAG